TGAGCTTTTTCGCAGAGTAAACACTGCTCAGCCTTATCAGTCTTCCCTGACTTCTATTGTGGACTTCGCCACTTTCGACAGCCCTTCTACTCCTAACCAAAACTCCCCGGAATTTAGCGCAAGATCACCTGTAAAAGTTAGTGAACGTGAACCAAGCACTAACGGAACTCACTTGTCACTTCTCGGGCACTGACAGCAGCTGTAGCGGCCAGTAGCATAGGCATAGAACAGCTGTTGTCAGGGTCCCAGAAATGAGGCGCAAGGCAAAGACGGAACGCGAGAAGTGGGTTCCATTAGCGGTCGGTGAAAATTCATTAACTAGTGTCAATATCTCTCGACCTAAACCGGCAAGACAACGAATAAGTGGCTGAATTGTTCAGACGTTAGACCCTGATCTTAAGGTCGCGATTCCGTGCACTGTTTGGGACTTGGTATGACAACACCTAATAGGCCAGAAATGGCCATTTCCGTCTCCCTTGTCTTCACCACGACAAGCGAACATGCGCGTCCCAGTGAATAATTGAGAAGAAGATGCAATCGCTGGGACAAGGCTTTCATTTTCCTGACCTTTCGACATCTGTCACGCATTCTTTATAAGATACATCAGCTGAAAGCAGTAGCAAAAACGGGTAACACATGCAGAGAAAGTTGCAGTATTCATGGCCGAGCAACCATCCCGTCTAATTCCACCAAGTCTGGTGCAAGTTCAGCGGGTAACGGCCCGCATGCCGGTCATCAAGCACAAGAGGGCAATTATCGTTAGTTGTAATAAATGTGCAGTCGTGACTGTATTCTATAAATACTGCAACGTCCTGTGCATGTATTAGCCGTTTCTGCTGAAGAATCCGCGACGGATGTCAAAACATCAAGTGAATAAAAATGAAGGTGCAAGAGCATGCCCACAAACTTAATTGAAATGTTGATCTGATGACTCAAAAGTGGCAACTCTTTCAGAGCATGCACCAAAAACATTAGTGAAACTGGCGATTTTCATAAAATATAAATGTACTTTTAAGATACCGACTGGGCACACTAAAAAAACATCAGGCCAAAGCCCAGGTTGTACGTAAAAGGCAGAGGTCAGAACAGAAACCGTAGTTGCTGTCTCAGACAGCAGTACCCACTGGTGCATATTAGTTTTCCTTGTGAAATTATAAATATGGTCTTAACCATCGCAAAAGTACGAGTCCAGTATGGCGTGTTTTAAATGTACAGACGAATGGATGGTATTCCTTAAATGAAGACTACGGCTAGATCACTGTGAAACCTAAACGAAAGTGCAATGGCACACTCGAAATAAGTCGATAATTGAAAAACTATTTCCTTTGACCTAGATACGACAATTCTTTAAGCGGGAAATTTGAATATTTGAAAATATGAGTTACTCCCAAATAGGTATACGGAAGGGCATATTCGAGCATAAAACGCATTTGAATTTATAAAAATATTGAAACCTTGCATACCTTGCATTTTGAACCCATACAGACTATTCGGCTAGGAGCATATTCAGAAGCCGGTAATCCGGCTTAACTAGAACATCCTTGGATTTTGCTGCGCAATAACTAGTAAGCAAACCTCAAGTAAGTAATACACTCTAATCATGAGCTTAGGTACCAGTCTGATCACTATTCTAGACACCAAAGGACACAAATAAAAATGAACCTATCGTCCACTACCTAAACACAAAAGCACAAAGTCGAGACAAATCATTACCGTATAGAAAACCCTTATATCCACCAGGGAGACGTTTACAGTTGACAAATCGCTTCGTGTCTTGGCAAATTTTAATATTTCGACAGATAAAAATAGTTGAATACTCGGTAGCTTTAGTGTGATTCGAACATATGAAAGCAAAAACAAGGTCTAACTACGGCCAATACTCCAACGGGTGAGCTACTAAGTCCCGAAACGGAGCTAACCTCCGAGGCCAACATGCAACGCTTGGAATGCACCAATACTTGTATATTTAACTGATCTACATACACTTAATATAAAAAAGTCTAATCAGCTGCGGGTTCATTTTCAAATATGCGTTTTAGCCTTGTTTCAGGCCTCGCTGTTCAGGCGGTTAGTCTTGG